TCCAAAGTCCATCCTTTCTCTGCCATAGACAGAGGGCGTGGTGGGGAGCCCATTGACATGGATAACCATTCCCACACCCACCAGCCTCAGTTTCCCTCTTCCCCGGGCAAATTAATCCCAGATTTCTGTCCCTGCTCCCTGCCCTGAACTTCCCACCTGATGTCACCCCCCCTTTCCTCCCATGGGGCTCACCCAGGCTGTGACTCCCTGAGCCTGGATCCCTTGGCTCTGCAGCCAGAGCCTTAATACCACACAGGGCTCATTGTCTTCTCTTCCCCAACCTAGTCCCTTTGGACACCCTCCCTATTCTTCCTGTTGTCTGGATGAATGGGATCTGCATAGTTTTTCCTATTTTTAAGCAATCAGTGCTTAAAAGCATAATGTTGCAGGCACAGGGGGTGCTCAATGTCCTTAGCGATTTGAATCCAGCGTGGGATGTAGAGGGCTCCAGTCCCCAAGTCCTGGGCAAAACACTATGGAGCATTGGGATAAGAGCTGCAGGATATGCAAAGGTCACATGTTGCATCCTTGGAGTCTGCAGGCACCCTTTGAAACAGAATTATCTGAGATCCTCATGTGCAAGAATGAGCTCCATGAGACCCTGAGCAACCTGTCCCGCTGGATGAAGGACGAGAAGGTGGACAGGATTCTGGTGAGAGGGAAGAGGAGAGAGAGGATGGGAGGCAGAGCTGGGTGGGGTGCTGGTGCAGGGTGGGACCTGATGTGGTGGGTGTCCCACAGGCGGTGCAGCTGGACTCTGCCTTCATCCGCAAGGACCCCTACGGGGTGGTGCTCATCATAGCGCCCTGGAACTACCCCATCCACCTCTTCCTGGTGCCCCTCATTGGGGCCATCGCTGCTGGTGAGCGCAAACTTCAGTCCCCTGGCCTGGAGGATCCCAGCAGTGCCAAGCACTGGTGAGGGCTCTTCATCCATAGTGGGGCTGGCTGTCACCGTGTCACAGCTCCAACATCCTGTCTGTCTTCCCCAGGGAACTGTGCCATCATCAAACCCTCTGAGGTGTCCAAGAAGACAGAAAGACTCGTGGCAGAAGCGCTGCCCAGCTACCTGGACAAGGTGGGACACTCTCCCCATCCCCGTGGCACAGCTGGGGCACCCCTGCACACACAGAGCTGTGCTCTGAGCTGGCCTCACACACCATCTCCAGTTTCATGTACTGCCCAACTTCCTTCCTCCATGCCCAGCCAGTGTCCCAGCCTCCCAGGGTGCTACTGGTGGGGACAGATGGTGACAAGGGGGGGCCTTTCTCATTTCCTTGCAGGACTGCTTTGCTGTGGTGACTGGTGGTGTGCAGGAGACCACCAGGCTGCTGGAGAACAAGTTTGACTACATCTTCTTCACTGGTACGTCCTATGGGACAGAACAGAGCCCTGCCGGGATGTTTTGTGAGGAGAAAGACGGGTTCCCTCCAGACATCCCTGCTGAGAAGGCAGGGACTGGGTTGGAGGATCTGAGATGTGTATCTGAGGTCTGGTGGGACCCAGTGCCACATCCCAGAGCCGCGTGATGGCTGGTGGGATTCCCACCTCAATCCATGTTTTCCCTGCCCGCAGGCAGCCCCCCGGTGGGGCGGATCGTGATGACAGCCGCTGCCAAGCACCTGACACCGGTGACACTGGAGCTGGGGGGCAAGAACCCCTGCTATGTGTCTGACACCTGTGATGTGACCAATGTGGCGCGGCGCGTGGCCTGGGGCCGCTTCTTCAACGCGGGGCAGACCTGCATTGCGCCCGACTACCTGCTCTGCACCTTGGAGATGCAGGAGAAGCTGCTCCCAGCCCTGCAAAAGGCCATCAATGATTTCTATGGCCCCAACCCCCGGGAATCCCCGGATTTTGGCCGCATTGTGAGTGACAAGCAGTTCCAGCGGGTGCAGAGGCTGCTGGGCAGCGGGCGCGTGGCCATCGGGGGACAGACGGACGAGGCCGAGCGCTACATCGGTGAGGCTTGGGGGTCACTCACATCTGCATCCTTGCATGGAGCACATTCCAGGTTTGGAGAAGATTATGAGGGGAACTGGGTGCTTCGGCAGGTGGCCTTTGGTACAGGAGATGTGTCCTGGGGGATCACCAAGGTGCCATCTCTGACCTCTGGGCATGGCTGATGCTGTCTGCGTTTCCTCTCCGCAGCTCCCACTGTGCTGGTGGATGTGCAGCCCTCAGATCCTGTCATGCAGGAGGAGATCTTTGGGCCCATCCTGCCCATCATCATCATCACCAACATGGATGAAGCCATTGACTTCATCAACAGCCGGGAGCGACCCTTGGCTGTCTATGCCTTCTCCTCGGATGACAAGGTAAATCCAAGCTAGGACTACACCTGCCCTGTGCTCCTTGGCAGCTGTATCCAGCCATGTTTGTGCTCCAAGTGTTTCCCTTACAGCACACAGCCCTAGTCAGGGGGTATGGATTGTGTTTGGAATTAGTGGAATGGGGTGGGAGACCCATGTCTCGTGTTCTTCATGTCACTCCCAGGTGGTGAACCGGGTCCTGGAGCGGACAAGCAGTGGTGGCTTCTGTGGCAACGACACTATGATGCATGTGACACTGCCCTCACTGCCCTTTGGAGGCATTGGTAGGTCCAAAATCCCCAACCCTGGCCGTTGGGAGCCAGGTGTGATCCCACCCATGGTCAGGAAGGGTCTCTGGAGGAACTCTCAGCTCCAGAGGGCTCAGTAGTCCATAGGGAAATTCTCCTCCAGAAGCCCTTTGCTTCATCTTGGGCTCTTGGGCTTTGCTGGACACCCATGGAGCACCCTGAGGTTCCTTCTCTCCACATTCCCCATCCCAAGCTCTGTGTTCCCTGGATCCATGGAAATGTGGATTACCACACAGGGAATCAGAGCTTGAAGCAACCTGGTCTAGTGGGAGGTGTTCCTGCCCATGGCAGGGGGGTGGAACTGAATAATCTTTAAGGCCCTTTCCAACCCAAACTATCCTGGGATTCCATGATGGAGACACCTGCTTTTTATGGGATGATCTCCACTACCAGCTCCTGTTTTCCACTCCTGTTTTCCACCTTTTTTCGTCTCTTCCCACTCAGCTGGCCAGGAGGCATCAGTGACTTCCCTTTATCCTGGGGCTGCCGATGTGTGAGGAACTGCACCCAAGGCATCACCCCAACCATGATTAGCATTTTATCAGGAAGACTGACTGGCTCAGGCTGACTCATGGCATTTTATGCCATCTGTTACTAAATCATGTGTGGATTTTGTTATTTTTTGCCAGCCTGCCTGGCTTTCCTGTGCTTGTTCTTGGCCAGCCAGCTTTCACCTCCTGACATTGATCCCTGGTGCTGGGTGCCACCTTGCCAAAGGCACCTACCTTGGTCATTGTGCCTCTCCACCCCTGCAGTCTTGCCCCCTTGCAGCAGGGCTGGATCCAGCATGGATGGGATGACTTTTGGAGGGTATTCCTGTGTTAGGGAAGGTCATCTGGTGGGAGCATCACCTCATCGGTGACACCCATCCAGTTGCTAAACATCTTAATTTAAATGGTAAAATCCACTGAGGAAAGAGTTTTGGGGAATTTCTCCACCTTCCAGCCTGATCTTCCCACTCCAAACATCCACTTGGGTGAGCACTAGGTCACCTCGTGGTCCTCTTTGGGTCACATTCCTGGGAAGCTCATCCATGGCTTGGAAGGTAGCTGGATGAAGTCTTGGTGCTGCTTTCACAGAGCTGGGAGCCTAATTTTGGGTTCTTTGACCCAAAAGATGGCCAGATCCAGCTGTCCACCGGGGTGCTGTGCTGTGTATTGCAGGGAACAGCGGCCTGGGAACGCACCACGGCAAGTTCAGCTTTGACACCTTCTCCCACCCCCGTGGGTGCCTGAAGCGCGGGATGGGCCAGGAGCCCCTCAACGCCCCGCGCTACCCCCCCTACAGCCAGAGGAAATTCGGGATCATCCAGGCCGCTTTAAAGACGGCACGTGTGAGTGACTGCACCCTGCTCTGAGGGTCTCCACATCCCACTCAGGACATCTCTTGTTGCTGGTCTTGGTGCTCAGGTGCAATGAAAGGTGTTTCTCAACATCCTGTGTGCTTCCCTTTCACTTCCCTGCACCCCTGCTCACCCAGAGAGTCCCTTGTCCCCCACATCTCCCTCCATTCCAGTCCCATATCCCTCTTTTCTGGCTGTTTGGGGCTTTATTTCCACTGGTACCACCAGAGCAGAGGGGTCTCCTGTGCCCCTCATTGTGTACTCTGCTTTGAGAAGGTCCACAACAACTCCCTAATTCTAAATCCTTGAGCTGGGACGATTCTGGTTTCTCCTGCTCTATGATCCCAGTCTCCTTTGCCCTATGATATCAGTGTCCTTTGCCCTGTGTTCCCAGTTTCTCCTGCTCCATGATCCCAAGTTTCTTTTGCCCCATGTTCCCGTTTATCCTGCCCCATGATCCCAGCTTCCTTCGCTCCATGCTGCGCCATCTGCGGGGCTGGTTGTGCCGGTAAAGGGATACCCATTCCTGCTAGGCTGTCCTGACTGAATCCCACGGGGATTTCCCCGAGTGGGCGGATGGGGAGAACGGGACGAGGCAGCTGAGACAAAGACAGTTTAACAGGGAACGGGAACCATCCCTGATGCCCGCCTCCAGGGACTGTGCCGGCCCTGAGGGGTCGGGGCCAGCGCTGAGCCCGCCAGAGGCAGAGCCGGGCTTTGTAGTGAATCCAAGTGTCTGGGCCGCTCCAGCTTCGAGACCGTCCGGCAGCCGTGGCCCGAGCTGCTCCAGAAACCGGACGGAGAGCTCCGGAGGCTCGGGAAGCGCTGGAGTAGCGGGAGCCTCCGCGCCGCCACCGCAACCGCGCGCCTCCGCCATGAACACGCGCTTCCGCCCCTTCCCGCCCCACCAATCACCGCGCAGCACGGCCGCGCTCCGCCCAATCAGCGACGCTTCTCCCTCTTTCTTCCCGCCCCCTCGCCCTTTGCGGGACTCCCACCAATGAGAAGCGCGTCCGCTGTGGCTCGCCCCGCCCACGACGCGCCGCCGCACGCGCATGCGCATTGCCCGCTGGGGCGAGCAGGGGTCAGGACGGCGGAGGGCCCTTGGGGCAGGTGAGGTGCGGGGGGGGCCCGGGGGCGGCTCGGGGCTGCGGTCACCCCCGGTGGCGTGTAGTGGGCACCCAAATCCCGCCTGGGGCAGAGGGGGCGGCCCGGACACTGCGCTACCCTCCGCCGCCATCCACTCCGAGGGACATACACGGGCGGAGCGGGGACTTGGGGGGTGACAGGAAGGATCGGTCCCGCGGGGGGCCTCAGGTGGGTGTGGGGCGACGGCGGGGGAGGACCGTGGGGACGGGGATGGGGAGACACGTGGGTCCCTTGGAGGGGGCAGGACATCAGGGCCCCTGGATTCTTAGGGGTGGGATGGGGAGGGGACACCTAGGTACTCCTGGGGGGTGGGGCGTGGATATCCTGGTCGCCTGGGGGAACAGCTGGGTCCCTTTTAGGGGGTGGACAGGATACTTGGGGGATGCATTTGGGTCTCTTAACAGGGGGCTGCAAGGAGGGATAGGATGCCTGGGTGCCTTGAGAGGGGTTGGCAGAGGAAACGGGATGCTTAGATCCCTGGGGGGAAGCGCTGAGGGTTCTTTGTGAACTGTTGGGACAGGAGTGCCTGGGGGTCAAGGTCTCTTTGGGTGGAGGAGTGGGGATCAGGGTGCCAGTGCCCCCCATGGGAAGTGGGGGGCCCCTGGCTGCCCCAGGCCCTTACTGGTATTTGCTGAGGTTCCCTCTGCCCCCCAGGACCGGCCATGGCAGCGCTGCGACTGCTGTACCAGGCTGCCCGTGCAGGTGAGGCCACCCAGGAGTCCCCAAACCTCCTGAACCCCCTAAACACCATTGTGACCCTCCTGACCCTCCTGTCCCACCCCAGGTCCCCTGGCCCCACTGGGCTCCCTGCGCCCGCTCAGCACCAGCACCCCCAGGGACTGTTACAGTGAGTACAGCCATGCCACCCCCCTGGGGGCCCAGCTCCCACCCTGGGGCTCTGCAGGGTGGCCACAGCTCCCCTCTTCCCGCAGAGTACGTCAACGTCCGGGAGCCGGCCATGGACATGCGATCCATCACCGACCGCGCCGCCCAGACCCTGCTCTGGACTGAGCTCGTCCGAGGTGAGACCCCGCTCACCCTCCTCATTTGTGGGGTGATTCTCCCCTTCCCGAATACGCCGTAACCCCTCTTTCTCCCCCGCAGGCCTGGCCATGACCCTGAGCTACCTTTTCCGTGAGCCGGCCACCATCAATTACCCGTTTGAGAAGGGCCCGCTGAGCCCGCGGTTCCGCGGGGAGCACGCGCTGCGCCGGTACCCGTCCGGGGAGGAGCGCTGCATCGCCTGCAAGCTCTGCGAGGCCGTGTGCCCGGCACAGGTGAGACTTCCTCCTCCTCCTCCTCCTCCTCCTCCTCCTCCTCCTCCTCACCCGGGGCTCTGGCTGTGACGGTGTCCCCATGCCAGGCCATCACCATCGAGGCCGAGCCCCGCGCCGACGGCAGCCGCCGCACCACGCGCTACGACATCGACATGACCAAGTGCATCTACTGCGGGTTCTGCCAGGAGGCCTGTCCTGTGGATGCCATCGTGGAGGTGAGTTGGGCCTGCAAGAGGCACTGCAGGGACTCCCCTTTCCCACCACGGTGACCCCAAGGGTGACCCCGTCCCACCCTGGCAGGGCCCCAACTTCGAGTTCTCGACGGAGACGCACGAGGAGCTGCTCTACAACAAGGAGAAGCTGCTCAACAACGGCGACAAGTGGGAGGCCGAGATTGCAGCCAACATCCAGGCTGATTACCTGTACCGGTGACGGCCCCACCTGCCCCCCAAATAAAGTGTTTGGGGGTTCTCCCCCTATGCTGGCACTGTGGGTGCCAGCCCCTTCCCATAACTCTGTGTCTTTTCCTTTCCAGCGCTGGGGGCAGAGCCCCTGACCCCTGGGGGACCCCACCTGGGTGTGTGGTTGTGTTTTGGGGAGGAGGATGCGGGTCCTGGGGGTGCTGGCACCAGTGCTGGGGTAGGGAGTGGTTTGCAGAGAAAGGTGTGGGAGGTATAAGGGGGGGAGATAAGGATGGAGGAACAGTGCTGGGGGGGATTTAGGAATCTGGGAGGGTCATTTCCAGCTTCTGAGGGCAGCCAGGGTGGGATGGCCTGGTGATCCTGGCAAGGGGGGTTCACAGTGGTACTGGTGTGAGGGTCCCAGTAATGCCTGTGATCCGGGTGATCCCAGCAGAGGGTCCTGATGGCACCAGTGGGGGAGCCTCTGGTGGTACTGGATGGGTATTCCCATGATGCTGGTGTGTGGGTACCAGCGTGGGGTGCCTGGCAAATCTGTGGTCTCACAATGGTACCAGTGTGTGGGGTCCCGATGATCCCAGCAGGGAGATCCCAGTGCTACCAGTTGTTAGGACTTGTCCCTCGAAGGTGAGAGTAACACAGGGGCAGATTAGAATAAAAGGACTCTTAGTGATTGGTGTTTATATATGTGTAGGGTTTATTTAGGTGGCAATGGAAAGCAGGTATGTGGGTGTTTTGGTCATTATTATCTACAGTAATACAGCTACATGAAAGCATAAAAAATGTTATTTTAAAGAAATGTCAAAAGGAAAAGAGAAAAAAAAGAACTGAAAGATAAGGGTAAAAACAAATCACCCCTGACAGATCTTGTGACTTGGTTGTTGCAATAGTTGTCCCTTGGTCGAAGTGATGGTCTAGATCTGTCAGCGGTGGGGGAAGAAGCCCACAAAACACAAAGTCTGATGGGTTAAAATGCAATCAGGCTCAGGGGGAATGCCCAGGTTTCAGTCCTCTGGTGAAAGGTCTCAGAAATGAGTCTGGGAGCGCCTCGGGGCTCTTTGATGCTCAGTGATCTCTTTTCAGCTGCCTCTCACGGCGGCGCGGTTCAGCCTTCCTTCCTCCGGAGGGGAAGCATTAGAACTGAGCCAGTTGTGCAAGGGAGAGCCAGAGCGTGACGAGAAGGCCGATTGTGCCTTGCAGGATGCAGGCAGTGATAGTTCACCCCCTTTGTGTTATGCAGACTGGGCAGTAGCACCCCAAACCTCTTCTCTCCAGGGATGTCAATCTGGCCCCAGCAAAGCACCCTGGCTCCGGCACAAATGGGGGTTGTTTGGAGTAATTACTCACTGACAGTCCGGTCTCACACCGGTGCGGGGGTCCTGCTGATTCTTGCGGGCGGTTTTCCGGCTCCGGGAAATGTTTCCCATTTCCGTCCTCCTCGGGGGATGTTGTGGGGGTCCTGTCCCCGGGGGGCCGCTCCCCACGCGGTGCGCTGTGTCCCGGGGAACGGGTTTGCCGGGGGGCGGCGGGGCCGGGCCGGCCGGTCCCTCCCCGGGGCCGGGCTCTTCCTGGGGAAGAGGAAGTGCTGGAGCCCGGCCGAGCCCGGCGCGGGGGGGGCACGGCCGGGTGGCTCCGGAGAGGGTCCGGCCCGGGGCGGTCCCGGGGCGGGGAATGCGCCGGCCCTGACTCAGAGGCAGCTGAATGGGGCAGGGGAAGGGGGGGTTTCGAAAGTACTTTGCCAGCCGGGTGCCGGGCACAGCCGCGTGTGCCTGAGCGGGCCGGCTTCCCACGGTCGCAGCCCGGTTCCGTCTCCGCAGCCGCCGAGACAGCGAGGCGACCTCTGCCCTGTTGTTCCCCTTTCCCGCCCTCACGCCTGAGGAAGCTCTCAGTGTCCCATCCTCATCCCACCCCGTTCCCTCCTTTTCCGTTCTCTCCCATCCCCAGGTGTGTGCGCTGACGCCTCCGCAGCCCGGGCCGGACCGGGCGTCTCGGGGGGGCCATGGGGTCCCTGTTCCGCAGCGAGGAGGTTTGCTTGGCCCAGCTCTTCCTGCAGTCGGCTTCTGCCTACAGCTGCATCAGCGAGCTGGGGGAGCGCGGGCTGCTGGAGTTCAGAGACGTGAGTAGGGGCTGGGGGCGTCTTGGGGTGTCTGGGGTGCAGGGGGTTCGGCTGGGTGGGCCTGGGTGCTCTGGGTTTGGGGTGCTCTGTGTACAGGGGGTTTGGTCTGCTCTGGTTTGGTGTGCGTGTTCTAGGGTGCCGTGGGAACAAGGAAGTTGGTCAGGCTGGGTTTGGTGCCTGGGCTGCGTGTTCCCCCGGGGTGCTGAACCCCCCAATGCAGTGTGGGGCCATGCCTTGACTGTGCCCCCGCAGCTGAACCCCAAAGTGAGCCCCTTCCAGCGGCGCTTCGTGGGCGAGGTGCGGCGCTGCGAGGAGATGGAGAAAACCTTCAGTGAGTGCCGCGGGCTAACTTTGGGGGGGCTTCTCAGGGGACCGCCCGGCTCGGCCCCTCAGTGTGACCGTGTCCCCCCGTTCTCCAGCCTTCCTGCAGCAGGAGCTGCGCGCCGCGGGGCGGGTGCCGGGGCCGTGTCCCGAGAGCCCGCGGGCGCCGGCGGCGCGGGAAGCGCTGCGGGTGCAGGAGCAGTCGGAGCAGCTGGCGCAGGAGCTGCGGGAGGTCAGCCGGAACCACGCGTCCCTGCGCGGCCGCCTGCGGGACCTGCGGCAGTGCCTGCACGTCCTGCGCGAGGGACAGCGCTTCACCAGCCAGCCGGTGGGTCCGGGGGTCCCCGCCCGCCTGGGGGTGCTACCTTGTGCCTCAGTTTCCCCCGGGCTCATCCCTCTGCTCCGCATCGCCGCAGGCCCCCCTGGGCACCCCGCCGCGGCCACCGGCGCTCTCGGAGCGTGAGCCCATCCTGGACCCCTCCGTGCACCAGCACCTCGAGCGCAAGATCAGGTGAGAGGGGGAACGCTGTGGGGCGGGGGTGGAGAGGGGCTCTGGGGCAGTGGTGTGGCCGTGGGGCAGCTGGGAAACTGCGGGATATGGCTTGGAGATGACCTTTGGGGCAGCGGTGCAGCCATGGGGCGGTTTGCCTATCCCTGCACTCCTGCCGTGTCTCTGCAGCTTCGTGGCCGGTGTCATCCACCCGTGGCGAGTGACGGCCTTTGAGCGGCTGCTGTGGCGCGCCTGCCGCGGGTACCTGGTGGCCTCCTTCGTGGAGATGCCCGAGCCGATGGAGGACCCGGCCACGGTGAGGCAGCACCCAGGGGCGGGCTGGCACGGCTGTGGGGGCTGGGACACCAGAGTGACACGGACTGTGCTGTCCCCAGGGTGAGAGCATCACCTGGGTCATCTTCCTCATCTCCTACTGGGGCGAGCAGATTGGGCAGAAGATCCGCAAGATCTCGGACTGGTGAGTGGCCGTGTATTCTCCACAGGGAGGTTTATTTAGTAACACCCACTCTGGACCCTGCTGTGGGGCCAGGCTGGGCAGCCCTGACACCCCTGACACAGCCATGTCTCTCTGTGCCAGCTTCCACTGCCAGGTGTATACGTACCCGGAGAGTGAGGCCAGCAGGACGGAGGCCATTACCAGGCTGCATGGGCAGATCCAGGAGCTCAGCGTGGTGAGCTGGGTGCCATGAGGGGATGTGGGGGCCACGCTTGGATTGCCATCCCTGACACAGGTGCCCGCAGACGCTGGAGGAGACGGAGAAGTACCTGGCGGAGGTGCTGGACAAGGTGGCGCAGGTGCTGCCCACCTGGCGTGTGCAGGTGCAGAAGATGAAGGCCATCTACCTCGTCCTCAACCAGTGCAGCTTCGATGTCACCAAGAAGTGCCTCATTGCCGAGGTCTGGTGCCCCGTGCGGGACCTCACCCAAGTGCAGGAAGCCCTGCGCCAGGGATCTGTGAGTGGCTCTGTGTCCCCATGTCCTTGCACCAGGGATTGTTCAGTCTATCCATGTTCTTGTTCTGGGGTTGCTCAGTTGTCCTTGTGTCAGGGGTTGCTCTGTGTTCCCATGTCCTTGTGCCTGGGTTTCTTGCTGTCCCACGTTTTCATGTCAGGGGTTTGTTGGTGTCCCCATGTCCTCATGCCAGGGCTTGTTCTGTGTCTCCATGTCCTTTTTGTGGGGTTGCTCAGTGTCCCCATGTCTTCATGCCAGAGGTTGCTTGGTGTCCCCGTGTCCCCTCATCGTGATGGAGCATGTGCCAGGCTGGGGGGGATTGTGGGGTGGGTGCAAAGACCAAGGTCTGGGTGCTGCTGCCAGGAAGGGGGGTGTTGTGGGCTGGGTGCCAGGGGCAGGCTCCACATGCGGGGCAGGGGAGTGCCAGGGGTGCCAGGATCAGGTTCTGGGTGCTGTTCCCGCAGTACCAGAGCGGCTCCAGCGTGGAGTGCTTCGTGCAGCGCGTCCCCACCTCGGAGAGCCCCCCCACCCTCATCCGCACCAACAAGTTCACCGCCGGCTTCCAGAGCATCGTGGATGCCTACGGGGTGGCCAGTTACCAGGAGGTGAACCCCGGTAAGGCCCCCTGGCACCCCCTGAGCCCAGGGCTGAGAGGGGATGCCTCGTGTAACGCAGTCCCTGTGTCCCACAGCACCCTACGCCATCATCACCTTCCCCTTCATCTTCGCCATCATGTTTGGGGACGTGGGGCACGGGCTGCTCATGTTCCTCTTTGCGCTCTGGATGGTGCTGTACGAGGACAGCCCCCGCCTGCGGCAGGGCACCAACGAGGTGGGGGCACCAGGGAGGGGTGGCATGCAGTTACAGACATGGGATGGCATGGGGGAGTGGAGCGGGGTTGGAGGTGTGGGACGTGGTTGGGGACATGGGATGGGGACATGGCTGGGGACAGGATGGGGCTGGTGGCTCGGAACAGGGTCAGTATGGGTCAGGGTGGTGCTGTGGGAAGGGAGTGGTGTGGGGCAGGGGAGGTAGTGTGGGACATGGGAGCTGTGTTTGCCCCCCTAGATCTGGCTGATGTTCTTTGAGGGGCGCTACCTCATCTTGCTGATGGGTGCCTTCTCCATCTACACCGGGTTCATCTACAACGAGTGCTTCAGCAAAGCCACTGCCATCTTCCCCTCTGCTTGGAGCG